AGGAGTATATGGCATGTGTACTTACCTGATCCTGTCATAGCCCTGTATAATAACCGTAAATGGCTGGTGTCTCGGGGAAATTTTCTCCGTACTTAACAACAAGATTGACAGCACCATGATGGACTTACGGAATTTGTAGTCCAGTGTTGTTTGGACATTCTGCATGTGTTCTCTCTGATTGGTTATATAGTCCATGCTGGACAATTAATTCTTTAATCGTCTGGATGATCAGTCATCTTTGCGGTAATATTGTAGCTTGTGTCCTAAATCGTGGTATGGAGTATTGTACCATGGTGCAGCATTTATTGGAATTTTTTGTGAAATGAGAAAAATTTTGAAGGATCTCTTGTGATTTTATGCACGTCTATAATTTGCATGTGTCACTTAGAAGGCTGCTGAAATGTGTTCTCAAGACAGAAATGAAATCTGTGAGCTGTTTTGGTGAAGAAATTAGAATTTCACTTGCGATGAAATGATTGAAATCCAGGAATTTTCTATGGAAAACCTGATACTTGGAATATTTGAGTGATCTGTTCGTGGAATTACTGAAATCTCTGACCGTTGCATAATTTCAAGTGTATCGAAGGCCTTTTAAATGTCAGCAGTGTGTATGTGTTGTTTCCGTTTGGCAAATGTATATGGTATTGTTCTAACTTACGGGTGCAACTAACAGATTTGTAATAATTATTTTCATGTTCGCATTAAAGATTTCAGTACATGCAGTTTTACAACAAATTGCAGAAAACTGAGATATGTGAGTTTGCACTGTTTAAAGTTTACCCTGATCATGAAGAAAATAAATTTGTGATTTCTTTAAAAAATAAACTCTTAAGAAAAACAGCTCATATGTTTCATAAAATCATTCCATTTAGAAACCACTGTGAAAATCATATTTAGATTTTGAATTTACCGATATATGGAAACTCTTTTTGATTTCTTGGAGAGATTTGAGAATGAGATAAATGACGAGATCAGCTGGTCACAGTCAATATTTAGTGGAAATGGTTTATTTGGATTTTGATAGAAACCAGTCGTGGTAAAGCTTCATTATTCCAATGTATTGCTCGCTGACCTAGCGCTCCCCAATTAAGCCTCTAATACTGCAGATGGATCAGCTGTTTACATAACAAATCCATTGTCCATGCTAAGCATGAGGTGGAAGTGGTCAACGAAAATACTACACAGGTCAATCGTCTTTTGTTCACTGTATACTCCAGGTCTGAGCTGATTCCATAGAACTCCTGTCTGTTTAAAGGACCGGTGGATGATTGTATGATGACAGATGGGAGGGGCTGCAGGTTGATGTAACAGGCTTATGATTGAGTTGTATCTTTTAGTTGTCATCAGAAAAAAGGAAGCTGTCTCCCCTACAGGTGTTTATAGGGAGCTGACCGTGTTAAGAATAACAGGTCTACTGGAGGTGAAGTGTAGAGATTAACACACGGTATTATCTCTACATAAAGTTTGTATACATAAAGGTATTGAGAAAATACAAGCCCCGATTGTATATGTACTAAACAATACTTACGTAGGCAAAGAAAGGATTAGCCCTGTTTCAGTCTGAACAAATTAAATAAAATGAATTGAAAAGATTTTTTTTTTCTCTTTATTCGCTATTATGATGTTTAACAAATGGGAGATTCATTGATTGGACGTTATTCATCTGGAACCTTCCTCTCATGTGTCCCATTGATGGTCTATCCGACTATGACGGTATATACTCGCCAGTCTAATTGGGCAGGTGGATTCAGACAGGAGTTAGGTACTGGGTTGGGAAACAGAAATACACCCAATGGACCTAAGGAAAAAGGACAGTCCTGCTCACCAAAACATCAACGTCTACTGTATACAGGGCGCAATGTAACACATATTGAAGTGATTTTATAAAGAATCTTGTCTTGATATCATTATTTTTTTACCCCATCATTTGAAATACCAAATAAGGCACGGAGAGATAAAGGACATCGGCATCAGAGTGGACACTTCTGGATTTAATCTCAGAACTTCAGTTTACAGTGTCTTTGTCACAGGTACTTTTGAAACAGTGTAAGAGAAAAAGTGTAATGCATCATCGTTAATTACTATCCAGCTGAAGTTTTTCATCATCTTAATCCGAAATTTTTGGATCATGGGCAACATGATAGCAAACTTATGAAATTCCGTGGACTTGGTATGATTTGAGCGTGAAAGTCTGGCGATCAGCTGTTCGGTGTTACGCATGTCAGACCCAGTTCCAGGAACTTGAATACTTCTGTATTATAGTCATCTGTGAAAAAGTTCACCTACTACTTGGATACTATTGTGCGTGAACACATCCACGATCAGGTCTCACTCATTTTTTAGTGATTGTTATTTTTGTAAACATTTGGACTAAAGCTTCTGGCAACGTCTACAATCATTCACATCAAGCAATTAAGTCCTCGAGAATTTAAGAAAGTGCTTCACGTCACGGTTTATGGAGAGTTTTACACTTGGATAAGTTTCAATTTTATCGTTTGTGAAAATGTATCACCCTGTTTGGGATCATTAAACGCGGTCAGGTTCATACAGCTCAAATTGTGATGGAAATCGGCTCTCTTCTCATATGTAAATATACTGCCTCCTATGTCGGAATAATCGTCTCTACAATATATCGGGCATGTATTTTGTATTGAGTAAGGGATACGGAAATCTAACCACTGTTTAATGTAAATGGAGAATGGTTTTTCAATTAAATACACCTTACACAAAGACGAACTCTGCGTAAATGGCTGATAAATAGACTGATGAAAATGAGACGCAGCATAATAATATAAAAAGGATATCAATTTTGGGTGGGGACATTTTTTTTTTCTTTCTTAATTGCACCATGCATAAAAGATATCATTTTACAAGGAAGTTTTATTATCTGATCAGAGTGCTAATATTTCAGTCAAATCTCACATGCATATAAAGGATTTTAATTGAAGCTATGTGAATATCGCAAAAATATTTTTTTTGAGAAATATAGACAATATTTACATGAACTAGCGTAAACAACCCTCAAAAATATCACTCAGATATTGATTCTTCTCGTTACCTTTCATTTTAGTGGTGAGAAACTGAACTGAATGTTTCAACAACTTTAAAATTGACGCTCTATCAATTTGTTCTAGAATTTGAAAATACCGACTATAACGGACGTTTCCCAAAGAAAATTATTTGAGAAGAGTTTGGTTACAAGCGGGTTTATTAATTTTGAATTTTGTTCTAGAATTTGGAAATACCGACTATACTGGATGTTTCCTGAAGAAAATTATTTCAGAAGAGTTTGGTTACATGCGGGTTTATTAATTCGATGCATGTTTTGGGTATCGGTTACGCCTCCAACATGTTGTTGATAGTGATGTCACAACTTAGGCTAATGTGGTTGTAATTGTCTGTCGACTCTCCTCCCGTGTCACTACATTTCGCTTCAGCACAGATTTACCTACCGTAAAAAAAAAGACACAAAACCTGCCATTAATAATAGACTCCTCACTTATAAAGTTGTGTAACATGCTAGGATTTTCCTGTCCTTTGTCAGACAGAAGCTACAAGGTCAGTGACTGAAATCCACACCTTGTTTTAAATTAGAGTGTTTTCAACAGGATGTTTTACTTTTTAAAGTGTACTACACGATGCTTGTGGCCGATATTTTTTCAACCAGATCGCGATGATCTCAGTCTACCTACGGTAACTTGGATGCATTAATTTAAATGCAGTATTTTTCTATAAGGCTTTAAATTTGAAGGCCATAGTTTGTGCAGTGTATAGAATGACATTTTTACCAAAAATAAAGCGGCTGGGATAAGATCTTGTTTATATTACAGCCTTAAGTTAGAGGACTTGTAGAGCAACTTCTGCAATTTGATAGTAACCCTCAACAGGGTCAAATTATAATACATTAATATCAGTGCTGTACAAAAACTGAATTCCACATGTGTGAAAATATCGTGATTTGGACTCCAGACGTACTGTAATTTTACCCGAGATGTGGAAATTTCATTAAATAAGTGATATTAAATGGAAAGCAGAAGTCCACTGTTGACTATCTGAGTGCTGTTCATAATTTGTTGGTCGCCAAAAGTCAACAAATGAACAAATCAGTCTAGATGAGACCGCAGAATTAATAACTGATCATTTCGGACTTTCACAGGCGGTCAACGGAAGGAATTTGCTATTGACCACTCAAGTAAACAAACAAAACCATTTGGAAGAGAATTAATATAGATGACCATTTTAGGTTAAACTAGAGGTCAACAAGGATTTAAAGAACCTGTCATACATATTGTCAAACAGTTGAAGCAGCCACTGTGTACACATGCTTGGCTAGCAGTCTGTCGATGTGGAAGTAGAATGAAAATGAAAACAGTTTAATTTCCGTATGGATACAGGAATATTCTTAGCACCTGAACCAGCCACAGTGATAATTTTGCTACAGTGATAATTTGCCACAGTGATAATTTTGCAACAGTGATAAATTTGCCACATTGATAATTTGCTACAGTGATAAATTTGCTACAGTGACAATTTTCTGGATGCAGGAATTATCACCATACAGTGTTTCTATACATAATTTGATGGGTTTTATTCGACAGAAGTGGTATAGCCATTAAAATTATGAACAGCACCGTTTGAGTATCTGTGTACGCGGAAACTGTTTGATCCCAATACTAGACGTATGAAGTTTGAAATCTGTGACATAAATTTGTATGGTGTATTGTAAATGTGCTGGGAAGCGTGGCTGCGTCCCTCCCAAATTCAATTGGACAACTTAAAGCCACATAGATATTTCAAGGATATATATATATATATTATGTCTTGCATAAAGGAAGACCTTTATCAGCCGGATTGATGAAATTTTTTTAGATATATTTTTTCTGGCAAATATATCTGTGATGAAAAGTTGAATAAGTATATGGGGAAAACTCTCTTTAGGCTGGATAACAACTAACAAGCTGTCTCTGTAGCCTCATAACTGGTAATCTCAAGCGATCAAGATGCCGAAAAAAAATAAGAAAACGAAAATTCTGGCTAAAAAATTGACTCGTCAGACATCAACGCCAATAATGTCTGTGTTTAACAGAAAGTCTACCAAGGGAAACTTTCCTCACCATCCACATTCCGCCTCAGAGTTATTTGAGATGGAAACTGAGGGTGAGAATGATATTGAGAGAGTGCCTAGTCCTCCTACTGGGGGTAGTCGACCTACTTCTCCGATTAATATGATAATTCCATTATTGGAGTATGGGTTCTCCTGGCCAAGAAGAAAAAGTCCATTTTCTAAATCTAGCAAAACAAAATCTGTGGTTGAAATAGCTTCACCAGACAGTGGATGTCCGGCCTCCCCGGAAAATGAAAAAGATCTGTATTCTGAGAATCCGTTAGAGAACGGCACCTGTCTTTCTTTTACGACACGTTCTCCTGATTGTTCATCTCCGTCCAGTGACAAAGAAAATGCGCTGCCAGATATTGACGCTGTCATTGCTTCACTTGATGATGTCATTGATGAGGAAGATAGCGGCGAGGATATCCTAAATGTTGGAAATTTGACCAAGGCTAAAAGTTTATCGGAATCAACCCTCTCTACAAATGAAAACAAAAAAGAATGTTTTAAAGAAGAAATTGGGCAGGATTCATCTGATGAAAATGAAAAAAGAGATGTTTTAAATGAATTATCACCAATCAATGGAATTATCAAAGAGAGAAGGGGAAGTAACTCTAAACGTGTGAGGTTTAGTCTTGATCATGCACCCTTGAGGAAAGCCAAAAGTTTGGACTTTATTAAAAATATGGTTATCAAAGAACCATGTTCTTGGGATGTAATTGTGAAAATGATAGATATCCAGCCCTGTGATGGAGAAAGCAAAGACTTTAAATGTAGGGAGCTGGAATCCTTCAGTGTCCAGGTAAGGTTACCCAGGGGTTTATAATAAACATTCAATGTCAAGGTAAGGTTACCCAGGGGTTTATGATAAACACTCAGTGTTATACCCAGGGGTTTATGATTAACATTCAGTGTCCAGGTAAGGTTACCCAGGGGTTTATGATAAACACTCAGTGTCCAGGTAAGGTTACCCAGGGGTTTATTATAAACATTCAGTGTCCAGGTAAGGTTACCCAGGGCTGATGATAAACATTTAGTGTCCAGGTAAGGTTACCCAGGGCTAATGATAAACATTTAGTGTCCAGGTAAGGGTGCCCAGGGGTTTATGAAAAACATTCTATGTCCAGGTAAGATTACCCAGGGGTTTATGATAAACACTCAGTGTCCAGGTAAGGGTACCCAGGGGTTTATGATTAACATTCAGTGTCCAGGTAAGGTTACCCAGGGGTTTATGATAAACACTCAGTGTCCAGGTAAGGTTACCCAGGGGTTTATTATAAACATTCAGTGTCCAGGTAAGGTTACCCAGGGCTAATGATAAACATTTAGTGTCCAGGTAAGGGTGCCCAGGGGTTTATGAAAAACATTCTATGTCCAGGTAAGGTTACCCAGGAGTTTATGATAAACATTCAGTGTCCAGGTAAGGTTACCCAGGGGTTTATGATAAACATTCAGTGTCCAGGTAAGGGTACCCAGGGGTTTATGATAAACATTCTATGTCCAGGTAAGGTTACCCAGGGGTTTATTATAAACATTCAGTGTCCAGGTAAGGTTACCCAGGGGTTTATTATAAACATTCAGTGTCCAGGTAAGGTTACCCAGGGATTTGTGATAAACATTCAATGTCCAGGTAAGGTTACCCAGGGGTTTATGTTAAATATTCAATGTCCAGGTAAGGTTACCCAGGGGTTTATGGTAAACATTCAAAGTCCAGGTAAGGTCACCCAGGGTTTAGGTTCAAAGCCATGTAATGTGCTCCAGGATTTAACAAAATACTTTAAAGCCCTTTAAATACAAACTGTACCGTTTTGTAGAGGAAGGGCAGTGAAGTTTGGTTGAATGCTGAAATGACGTAGATTTTTTACAGAACTTGTTCAAACCTTTTATCAAAGTGGTAAAGTTTCTTCAAACTTGAAAACGAATATTTAAGATTTTAAGGCATTGTATGAAATTTGTTATATGTATTAGCTAGAGAGGAAAATGTTTACAATGCCTATTAAAAAAAGTATTCACAGTTGCATAAACTTTAGTGTTGAGAAAGATATATTTGTATACAGGAAATGTCAGTGGTATAATTCAATAGAAAAAGACAGCTGGAATTTGATCCGCCTTGCTTTGTTTTGACTGTAGTGTGACAGAAGTTGTATGACAGAATTCTATAAACATAAATGCATAGAAACATTCAACTAACTCTAATGTATTTTATTGTGATGTGGACCATTAACTGAAACCACCATTATGTCAAAATCTGCCGTTCAATTTTTGAACTTTTTTTTTCTGATTGTAAAATTTTCTTTGTTGATTTATAAACATACTGAAGTTATGTCATTTTAATTTTGTATGGAAATCATATCTTTTTGACAGTTTCACAGCATTTTAAACATTTGTATCTATTTAAGATGTATGTCATGCAACAACCTTCACATCAATGAAAATTTCACATTTCTTTCATCTAGGTTGTTACAGAAATATTTAGACTGTACATTGTGTCAATATGACTGTAAGAAAAAAATTCTTGTCGGTAACATAAGGAAGTAAATAACTAATACTACCTGGTATCTATTATTTAAGGGTATATGTCACTACAATTATCCACAATAAGCCCATGCTTGGTAATAAGCCCACCCATAGTAAGGGGCCATTCAGTTAAAATTGATACAAACCAGTTATTTTGTTAGTCTGTAATAAGCATTTCTCAGGACTCAAAGTGAAACATCATGTGTTTGTTCCTTTGGCTTATGTCCATTTGGTTTTAATTGATGCAAACCAGTTATTTCATTATCCTTCAATAAGCCCACCACATGATTCAATATAAAAAATCATATGTTTGTTTCCTGGGCTAATTGCAGATTCAAATACAACGATTATTGAAAGCATCATATATGAAAGAAAGTGATTTTATGAATTATTTAAATAACTTTACTTTATGGAACTCGTTTGCAATGGATATGCCCTTTTGAAGTATGTTGAATTGATCAGCCTCTTATCAGAGTTTATCTAACATTTGGTGGAACATTATGACATTTCAGTATGACAAAACTTTATAGTAGTCTGTTAAGTTAGTGGTATTCATGACCTTCAGGTAAGTGCAACACAAATGGAGTCCAAAAACACACAATTTTTCAAAATTGAGATGCATGTCTTACCTCTTGTATGTTGGTTATTAAAAAATTCATGTGGAGATTATTTCAAGTATCATTTAAGACAGAAAATAATTTCTTAAATTAAAAAAATGTATAATGGTTGTGGTATAGATTCAGTTACACTGAAAGCAAGTTTTAGTATGCATGTGTTCATATGGATTTTTTTTGCTTTCAAGGGTGCATCGCACCAGTAACACCTGAATTCACATAACATATATCATATATTCTGACCTTAACGCCCTGTGATGTATCCAGTGTCTGCAGTTTACTGAAGTGCAAACTTCAGACCAAGATGTACTGACAGATACACTGGTATTGTCTATAGAATCAGTCTGAGGAAAGATAAAAGCCTTATTGTAGTCTGTCTGTTAAACTTGGGGCGGATTTCTGCTTCTCGGATTATGTCATTGTTGTACCTGAGTGTATATGTCTCTGAGAATTACTTATATACTATTGTCTATAACAGTCCGTCTGTTAATGTCCCTATAGAGTAGATTTTAATACCAAACTATTTGTCTCTGGGTGGCTTGAAATGGAAATTCCTGGTAATTTTTTAAGACCTGACAATCATTCCTTTCATAATCTTTTGGCGATAGCATTTGCCTGGCCTGCATTTTATATTAAAAGAAAATAAAAGCTGTTTCCCCCAATCAAACCCCAACACCCCCATCCCTCCACTTAAGTATTCACATAAATTATAGAAAATCAGGAATTTCTCTATATTGATGTGTCAGCTATTAGTAGATGAAAGGAAAATACTTACTACAGTGTAGTTGAAAACCTTGTTTCAGGAGCACAGTGGCTGTGTTCTATTCTACCTATTTATTATCTAAAGAACATCATCTCCAAACATAATTTCATGAAACATGGGTTTATTATGGCAATATCTCAGAGAAGTTTGCAATTGTAACCATTACATTTTCCTTATATCCAGTGTTATTGCCCTTTGTTTATTTCACACAATTTAAAGTTTTTAATTGTTTTAAAGGGTGGCCACATCCCAGATGAGTTTGCTTTTCATAACAATAGCTCTCTTCCTTAATTCCGTCAAATTATTTTGTCAACAGAATTTCACAGAACTTGATACAAAGATATTTTGTGGCAATATCTGGGACAAGTTAATGATTTGTAAATCATTATGAATGAAGTCACTAAAGCTGCTGTCTAGTTCATTTCATTAATTTCCTGTTTTCCTGTACTTTTACTTTAATGTTTTGTCTTTTCAATTGTTGCTCCAGCAAATAAAATCGCTTACTGTTAGATGTACAACATTTAAGATGATGCCTGGTTTTAAGATTGCTAGTGTATCTCTGTAGGGCTCTTTCTGAAACCAGAAAGATGTCGGCGACTATGTATTATACACAAAGATGTCGGTGACTATGTATTATACACAAAGATGTTGGCGTCTGTGTATTATACACAAAGATGTCGGTGACTATGTATTATACACAAAGATGTCGGCGACTATGTGTTATACACAAAGATGTCGGCGACTATGTATTATACACAAAGATGTCAGCGACTATGTGTTATACACAAAGATGTCGGCGACTATGTGTTATACACAAAGATGTCAGCGTCTGTGTGTTATACACAAAGATGTCAGCGACTATGTATTATACACAAAGATGTATTATACACAAAGATGTCGGCGACTATGTGTTATACACAAAGATGTCGGCGACTATGTGTTACACACAAAGATGTCGGCGTCTGTGTATTATACACAAAGATGTCGGTGACTGTGTATTATACACAAAGATGTCGGCGACTATGTATTATGGCGACTATGTATTATACACAAAGATGTCGGCGACTGTGTATCACAAAGATGTCGGCGACTGTGTATTATACACAAAGATGTCGGCGACTATGTATTATACACAAAGATGTTGGCTACTATATACACATGCTTTTGGACGTTAGTTCTGAGTGAATTTTCTCATTTTGAAGATAGATTTCCATTGATTTCATTGAGTTGATGTTTATCGATTCATCAATCGCAGATGTTTTGAACAAATCAGTTTATTTATCTTAAAAGTGTTTTTTACAAACAAGATGATGTGAACAATTGTAAAACATAATTGTCTACACTGATTTGTTGATAGAATAATCTACATTTATGAAAGTAAATCTTTAATTTTAATGTTTTATATGAAAATTCATTTTAAAAAAATATTTATTTCTGTAACACAGAAAATTACCATGTATGTATTAGAGACTATCAATGCTTGTAATTAATACCTGTCAATCTTAGTCCTCAGTCAACTTGCTCACACTGAAAACTGATAGGAGTTTAGTCAGAATCGAAACATTTGAAATAAGATATTTTTTCTTTTGATGTGGTAGAAATAGATATAAACTTGTTTGATCCGTGGAAACATATTTGTTTGATGACCAGATACAGGTACGGAAATGTTTGTGAGGAAAAGTACAGCTGTTGTGAAGATTGTATTTCACAGGTTTAAGTGATTGTAAATGCAATACCTGGATATCAAGTGGGCTGGGACAGGGTCATAAGAAATTGATGGCTAATTTCATGTACTTGTGTAAAGTACTCCTACAAAATGTTTGTTCATCAGTACTGCTGAGCTTCCTCAGGTTACTTGTAAAACCTTGAATGACATATTTTTAGGGCAATAACTCACAAGTATGAAAG